AACTGCGCAAAAAGACACATTTTGTGTAACTAAACCACTATCGGCCCTTATTTTTGGGGTGGTCCCCCTTATACTAACAGCCCTTAATAGGGATTAATAGTACCCCTGTTACAATCCCTCTCCAGGACTGTTCGTATAAGGGGGAACATCCCAACCCTCAGTCCTAAAGCCTAAACCCTAAACGCCCCAACCCTAAGCCCTGAGCCCTAAAACCCCCATAAGCCCTAAGCCCTAAGAACGGATTGGGGCTGGAACTGACTGGTCGACGTCCCCGCCAGTCGCACAGCCTCGAGTCGCAGCTCAAGTCCCATCAGGCTTCACGGCGAGGGGTTTCAGCTTTAGGGCTCCAAGGTGATCTTTGAACCCTAAACCCTGAATTCTATGGAGCTGCTGAGGTCTACAGTAGGTCGATAGTGTTCCAAACCCTAAACTTACCCGAAGGTCCAATCTTGCATCGCCAGAGTCGTAAGGTCGAGGAAATTCTTCGAATTCCCTGCAGGGGCCTACTGAATTCTCCCCGTCTTACCCCTAAATCCTAAACGCTAAATTTCTGAAGCCACGCTTTAAGCTTTGGGGGGAGGACAACCCCCAGTCTCTTCTGTGAAGCCCTGCACCCTAAAAATTTTAGTTTGGAGTTTAGGTTTAGGGTTTTGGGTTTTAGGTTTCAGGGTTTAGGGCTTCGGGTTTAAGGTTTAGGGTTCAGGCTTAGAACCATCCAAACACTAAACCGTGCACCTCCCGCATCTTTGCTGTCGTAGGCCCCGGCTGTCGATAACGGCCGTGTAGCTTTCCACACTCGGCGACAATTTCTCAGCCTCAAGCTGCAATGTGCAACTCTCCAGAGAGCCAAAGCACCCCATACTTTAGGAATACATACGTTAAACTCTGTGGGATTTATGTGATTTGAGGTAGGTCCTTAATGAAGGAACATACCAAAAGCTAATATGATTTGAGGTCGATCCTTCATTAAGGGGAACCAGAACTTGCTGACACTTTGAGCAACAAATCTCAAGCCTACTGGCCTTGGGTTTCAAGCCGCCGGTTTAGGGTTTAGGGCTTAGCGTTGGGGCTCAGGGTTTCTAGGGCTCAGGGCTTGATCTCAGAATAGCCTCAGAATAAGAAGGGCGACTTCTGTCTGATTCGTGCAGGTTCCTTTTCGTGAAACTAACCATTAAGCCTCCGGATCCGAGGTTTTAGGGTTTAGGATTTAACGGTTCAGGGGCTTGGAGTTATAGGCTTCAGGGTTTATGGGTTCAGGGTTTTAGGGTTAGGCGGTTAGGGTTTTAGGCTATGGGGTTTTAGGATTAAGGTCCAGGGATTGGGCTTCAAGGTTTCGGACACTCTTTGTGAAGGGCCCTTTCCCGAACGTCCGGAGGGAAACAAGGTCGAGGGATACAGGGACCACAAGGGAACACTATCAGCAACTAATCCCTTATTATAAGGTTAGGGAATGCTTTGGTGGTTGGGACACCAGCATGAAAGAAGATCCGAACTCGCGTGCCCAAACCTTTCGAAAAGATTGTCCGTTACAAAATGCTGACCAAGGAAAAGTAGGACATGTTCAAAGAAGTGTCCTGCCTAGCCCGAAACCCTGACCCCTAGCCCTAAACCCTGAACCCGAATGAGTGGCCTAACCCTAACCCCTCACCCTAAACCCTATAAACCCTAAACCCGAAACAAAGCAGAGGGCTCGTCCCAAGGCCCTTGCGAGCATGGACGCGAGGAACTGGCTGGCCTGGCCGGAGTGTCAAGGGCCGGGTTTAGGGTTTTGGGTTTGGGGTTTCGGGTTTAGGGTTCAGCACTCCGGGTCGAGCAGCTTTATGGTTAAGATCCATTACGGCTCGGATATAACACCCACCCACCCAGAGATTCCCACAACATCGAGAAAGCAAAAAACGGCCATGTTCTGAAAACAAAGCGGCCTTATTCTGAAAATAAAGCGGCCTTATTCTGAAATTCAATTAAGGTTTAAATATTATTGTAGAGAGGGTTTAGGGTTTAGAGTTTAGGTTTATGGGGATTATGGGGATTGGGGGGGATGAGGGTACGGACTTTTGCTTGGGGTCACTTTGCACGTTACGCTTGCCACTTGGCACTTGCCACTTTACACATTGAGTCAGTAGCTTAGCTGGTTTTGGGTTGACCCGACAGACACTCACCGAATACAGCGGTCAACATAATTTGACTGGGTAGTAGAGCAGCTTCTCACATACCACTGTGTAAGGAACATGTGTGGAAAATATATTGCACGCAGTCTGGTCGCCGCCACCGACTCCCCGCCGCCACAGACTTCAGGGGAAGCTGGCCCAAACTTATCGTGGGCTGATTTCTCCAAGGCAAGTCCTAAAACGTATCGGCTTTACAAAGTAAATCCTGAAACCCTAGACCCCAAACCCTAAAAATCTGAACCCTAAAACCCTTGACCGAAACCATAAACCCTGCATCCCCACCGTAGACCCTACACCCAAACCCTACATGCCCAGACCCTCCACTCGCCCCAGTGGTCCCCATTTGCAAGACTGGGCAGCGGCCTGGGCAGATGAGCCACGCTTTGCGCAAGCTGAGATGAGTGTGGTGAAAGACACCTGCGGGAATTTCATGGAGTTTAAGGTTTAGGGTGTTTCGGTTTGCAAAGATTTCGTTGTACCTAAGTTCTACATGTTTGGGCTGGTACTGCTTAATATACTTGAGTCCCGGCTTAGTCACGTATGCCTATGATGTTTCTTTGCGGAATTGTTCTTCTCAGGCCCCCCAAAAATTATGGCCGGCCAACCACCTACGATTCCGAAGCCGTATAGCTCTACGGCTGACATGCGAACATGGCCCGACCCTGAGGCATCGCGCCATCCGTCAGAATGGCACGTCTGCATCCGGCAATACCTGTTCCCCCGCCAGCATTTTCCAATGCAAAACTTTCCGAACCCAATAACACATCCTGAGCCCTCTCCAGTTCATCCCAAACCACACTAGTTCCTGAACTCAAAGATTCCCATCATCAGAACTCCGGCAGATTGAAGCCAGCCTCATTCGGTTGCAGTTTGTGCTGCCGCAGCCTGGACTGGAAACGGAAGAAGCTGTAACTGTATCCGCAACATGATTCTGCACGAGTTACAGAATGCTCCAGAGGCTCCAGGGCTCTAATCGCCATGCTGTCTGCCCATTCAAAGTGGACATGAAAACACAAGGAAATCTCCGCGCGAAACGTAGCTTTGATTTGGACATGCAACTTCAAAATCGACATCGATCCTAGCAGTCTGATGCAACATGACATGGACGCTACACACCAACATAAGCGACATTGCCCTATCTGGTTGTTGAATCCTAAACCCCTACTTCATTGATATGAAGAAGAAGGTGGAGCAGGTGTTCAAAGAACCCTAAACCTTCTGCGCGCGGGAAGGGTGGCCTCGCAAACCACTTCTGGGCTTCGTCCACATCCCCTGTCCTGCACGGAAGTCTTGATGGCTTGATGGAGTGAGAGGTCCGTGGTCTCGTTTCGCACGGGAGTTTGCCAGCAAGCAACCATGGAAAACGGCTTCCCAATGTGGCACAAACAGTGGTCCTGGCGAATCCGTACAGGACTGTGTTGAAACAAACCTGGGAGGTATGGAGGGAGTGTAGTGTGCGACATCAGACGATTCTACATCAGACATGCATGCTTTGCTGTTTGAATCGGGACTATAAAGAGGCTGTGGCCAAGTCCGGAGGGTGGCCCGCGTCGAGCATCTCTTCCCTGGGCACATTTGTGAGGGAAGCACAGTGACAACTACGCCACAGCACTGCAGGCGAGAATAGCCGCACTCCAGCATCTTCACATAGCACGGAAGATGACACACGCACACACACACACACACACCAAGATGTTTTGAGCACAGCGAAAGGAGTGACAAGGAACTACGCAGCAGCCAAAAGAAGCGCGACTAATTACGTGTCTTACTCACACAGCACTTGTCAGGCCAGGAGCCCACCAAAATGCAGAAAACTAGACAAGAGCAAAGGATGCCCCGTGCGCCCGAGACGCAGGTTTGATGAAGCATTGCAACTGAGTGGAGGACAAGTGAGCAGTAGCCGTCGCATGGTTGCCTCGGCGAGGTTGCTGGGTCGCCACGCGCGTCAGATGGAGTCAAGAGAAATCACGCGAGCACGGTTATCTGCGATGCGCTCCACAGTCTCTAGTACCGCATGTTCCGAGCTTCTGAATAGTAATTCCCCTTAGGTTGAACGTTTAGAGGGACAAAGGCTACAAGTAACTAAACCAACCACTTGTACTTACAGAAAAAATTTTTGGCCTAGAATAACGTGGGGGCATGAATGTTTAAGAAAGGTGTATAGGTTTCATGAGCTCAAGAACCCTGCGTGCTGTCTGCAGCAGAGTGCTGCGTTTGTAATGAGCTGGAGCCTCAGCCCTGCAGGCTATCATTGTGAGAAGAGGCCGCAAAACACTCGAGTCAGAACTACGCCCCCTTACGGCAGATCCAAGTCTGTGAGTCAGTGAGGGCCATCCAGAGAAGCCACCCGCAATAAGAGAAAGCCGACAGCCTGGAAGCCAAGCTATTGCTGCAAAAGCTTGAGCCTGCAGCCTGAAACTGTGAATTCCTTATTCTTTGTGAAAGAGGTGAGCTAACCTTTACGGGCCTCCAAATCTGTGAGGGGCCTGGTTGCTCTAGAGTGAGCCTGAGGGCCTGCTACAGAAGATTCCTGGAGGCTGAAATTGCGAGTTTAGGTCTTCAGGCCTTGAATCTTGCCTCCTCTTCCTTCTCGTACTCCTACGTCGCATGGAGCCTACGACCCCAAAAAAACAGAAGCTCGCATTGGCTCAATCTAATCATCTTATTTTGCAACCGCTGCTGTGCGTCTGGCGAGCTCTTTGTCGGTGCTTTGGCACTCGTTTCTCATCCTTTCTCAGTTGCCTCTGTTCTCAATTGCGCAGGTTCCGAAAGGGAAAGAAGCACCAGCAGCGCCAAAGCAAAGCCAACTCAGTTCTGACGACCCCGCTGCTGTCATGAAGAATAATCTACTCGATGCGACGCAAGAAAATGCCTGCCGTGCTGGAACGACTGCTCCACAAGAAGGAACGCCTTCTGGACAAGGTCTTGGTTTGTGGCCTCTGCAGGAACCTTGTCAGGATGGAGTCGTAGTGCCAAATGCCGCCTCTTCTTCTGCAGCGTCTGCATGGTCAAGCCCTCCAGCTTTATGCCCAGCACCCTGCACCAAGTAGGATTCTCCAGATCCAGGCGGGGCCGCGCAGCCTCCACAATCATGTCCACAAGCTGCTCAAGGTCGGGAGGCGCTGGCTCTGGTTGCGGCTGGGTCCAAGCCGGAGCCTCGCCCCGTGGAACAGCAACAATGCTTGCCGTCCGCAAAAGCGGAGGCGTGCTGGGCCTTGGCCGTTCGCAGCATGGTGAAACGTCGGCCTCTTGCTGGAAGACGTTCCACTCGAGCTTGATGGGCTCAAGGTCTTCGATGACTTCGACGACCTGCAGACCATTTAAATAGGTCTCGGAAAGACAAAACACGTATGGCTGACGTCAAACTAACAGAGAAAAAGGGATGTTCTAAAATGAGTTTGAGGCCAGCCGCCTCCCGACGGCTCGAGTTGCGGACCATGCTTGCAAGGAAGGGTGAAACTTAATTAGCAAAAATAAGAAGGGCAAATCCACCTAATCATGGACTCGACTGTCGTTGCAGAAGCTCGGGATAGGCTGAACCAAGGCAGAAGGAATTGCTGTTTTGGGGGCTTCCGAAATTAGTGACCGAATCTCGTCAGGCACCCGGCCTTCAACGCTTAGGGGGTACCTTCCTGGGGTCCTTCTTTTAGTGGGGAATCCTACTGTTTGGGAGACTTTGTTAGGGATCCCTCGTTTTCGTAAACCCCCCAAGTGCTGATTTCTGGCTGACAAGTCTAAAGCGCGCGGAAAGGCGCAGCGAAGGGAAGCTCGGGCTAGACTCGGAGCCGGAGGCTGTCAAGGCATCGCGCTGGGAGGTGAACCACAACTCCCTGAACACCAAACCATAAACCCTAAAAACCCTAAAAAACCCTAAAAACCCTATAAACCCTATAAGCCCTATAAACCCTATAAACCCTACAAACCCTGTAAACCCTATGAACCCTATAAACCCTACACCCTATAAACCCAAAACCCCAAACCCTAAACCCTAAACCCCAACTCCCTGAACACCAAACCCCATGGGCATGCGATTCAAGAGGCACCGAGTCTATACTCAAGAGTCACCTAGGAATTAAAACGGTGAGTTTTTTGGTTGAAAGGTTTTATAAGGGAACCCAAAACCCCATAAACCCCATAAACCCCATAAACCCCATAGACCCCATCGACCCCATAGACCCCATAGACCCCATAGACCCCAAAGCCCAAACCCTCAACCCTAAACCCTAACCCCCAAGAACACCAAACCCGATGCCAAACCCTAAAAGGGGGAATAAGGGCCTACTCTGGGTCCTGGGAGTTGCAGATTTCCGCTTCTGAGGTGCAGGGCGACGGGCTTGGGTTTCGGATTTACGGTTTAGGATTTAGGGTTTGATGACAAACCGGAGCTCCATAGCACAAATCAAACATACAGACCGTGGACTGTATGGTGGCATACACCCTAAACCGTCAACCCTGATCCTAAACCTAAGCCCTAAGCCCTAAGCCCTACGCCCTAAGCCCTAAGCCCTAAGCCCTAAACCCTAAGCCCTAAGCCCTGAACCCTCAACCCTAAACCCTAAACCCTCAACCCTAGCAGAGACGCAGGCTGCTGTGCGCGGCCGATGAGATCAGGGCAGCGTAGCTCAGCCTGAGAGTGTGGCTGGAGGGAACGCCTAACTCATCTTTGTTTTCGGGTTTAGGGTTTAGGGTTTAGGGCTTAGGGTTTAGGGTCTGGGGTTTAGGGTTTAGGGAGATATGGCAACATGGGCCCTCTGGGTTCGGATATACGTAGGCCAGCTAGAACGACAACCCCGATGAAGCTACATCTTGACCCTACATGTAGCTTTAGGGTTTGGGGTTTAGGATTTAGGGTTTAGGGTAGCTACTCAGGAGCCTTCACGTAGACCCCTAAACCATGAACCACTAACCGCAAACCCCGGAACCCTAAACACCTAGAGGAAGCCGGAAGCCACCAGAAGGGCGCAGGAACGCCCCTAAACCCCAAACCCCAAACCCTAAACCCTAAACCCCAAACCCCAAACCCCAAACCCTAAACCCTAAACCCAGCTTCTGAGCAGCGGACACCGTGGGTAGCACCTGCAGGCCCAGACAAAAAGCTTGAACCGCAAAAGCATCTGAAGCCCAGGTTCAGGGCTTGGGGACTCCCTAACCCTACACATTAGTAACCTCTAATTGTAAGGTATCACCGCGCAAAGAAAAGAAGGCATATGAGCCCCAGCTAAAGCCCAACCTTAAAACCTAAACCCTAAACCCGAAACCCTACACCCCAGAATCCCTAAGCCCCTTAAAAACAGCACGCGATGCCTGGTCGCGATGCATCCGCCGGCGCCAGTCCAGAACTGAAGCCTGGGGTGCGAATCTGGGACCACCCTAAACATGGGTGGAACTGTAACCCAAGGTTCGCGAATACTCCCGACTGCTTCCCTAAGGTTCCCTAAGGTTCCCTAATCCCTAAGGGTCCCTAAGGGTCCCTAAGGTTCCCTAGGTACCTACACCCCCCCATGACCCTAAACATGGGTCTACCCTGAAAGCTAAGGAAACAAGTCTGGAAACCCTGGACCACTTCGCCAGTGAAGAGACTAGGACAACTGCCTAAGCTTTACGAACCCTACCGAAGGCTTGGGGTACTGAAGTCAGGAATGTTCAAGGGAACGCTTTGTGCTTGATGGGACTACTAAGCCAACCTATCACCTAAGAAGAGGTGAACACGAGGCTTGTACCCAATAAGGGAGAACATAAAAAATCCCAAGGGCCTACCTGTGGAACCCTAAACCCTAAGCCCTAAACCCTAAACCCTTGGTCCGACCTAGTTTGGCACCCTGAACCCAGTTCAATCAAGGACCCGCTCCTCATCGCCGAGTTTCGACAAGCCGCCCATGACCGCATTGTATGAAATCCTTGCTGAGCTTACCCCTAAACCCTAAACCCTATAATTAAACCTTATTTAAATCCTAAACCCTACACCCTAAACCCCTAAACCCCTAAACCCTAAACCCGAACCCTACATCGTTCAGGGCGCAGGGCTTTTGGCGGCTTGGGGTTTGTGGTTTGCGTGTCAGAGTGCCTTTCTAGGGTATCTGGGAAATAGGTACCATATAGAATCCCTTAAAGGGTTATACAATTATACGGTGGGAATACTCCTTGGCCAATGATCTTCTCCAGCGAGTCACCAAACGCCTCGAAAAAGCTTCCAGGATGAATCTCTGCCTGGCAGCTGCTGTCAAAGCTGTCGTGCTGTGGGATCGGGCGTTCAGCAACCTCCGGGTTGAACTCGCTGTCTGTCTCCTCCGCCTTCCAGAAGTCCTCTCCGGCGTCCATGCACCGCCATGCAATGGCAGCAGCAACTGCTGTGCCAACACCTCCTAACAGTATGAGGTAGCTTGTTCCTTACGAAGAACCAGTAGCTCATGGGATCCCATACTACCCTGCCCCACCCAACCTTGCCCGAAAGGTTAAGGGTTTATGGTGTTTAGAGCTTAGGCTTGCTTTTGTACCCTCCCCCCCCCCCCCCAACCCGGTTCACGGCCCACGCAAAACGCAATCAAGGGTTATTTGGGCATTCTTGGGGCCATCGACACGGCCAACTAAACCCAAAGCGAAGACTTGTCCTAGGTTGCCCTGCGAAAGAATACGCTTATGTTTCAGGCTTTGGAGCAAAATGCGCAACAAGGGACAACCAGACCCAAGAGTAACCTGGGAACGACCCTTTTAGGTTTAAAAGGGGCTTAAAAGTGAACCGAAACCCAATAAGGGCCTACTCCCCTAAACCCTGAACCCCTAAACCCTAAACCCTAAACCCTAAACCCTAAACCCTAAACCCTAAACCCTAAACCCTAAACCCTAAACCCTAGACAACAAGAAGACGTGTCAGTGTCGGGAGGGCACAGGCTTTCAATGCCGAAGCAAACCGCCCTAAACCCTAAACCCCCCTAAAAGCCCAAACCCTGGCCTAACAAAGGAAGCTTTCCTTTTGAGTCTTTCATGAAGCAAGTCACTGCCATTGGGGACCCTTCTGGAGACTTCGTCCTGCCGGATGGCCCCATAACCCTAAACCCTAAACCCTGCGCCTTAAACCCTACCCTAAAGGGTTTGGGACCATAAGCCGCTCTTTCCCTCCGCCCCCGTTTGAGCACTCATCACGTACTGTGTGGGAGTCCGGGGCTTAGGGCGAAGAGGTCGAACAACAACTTCGGGGCGCCCCCCCCCCCATCTGGCGGTTTTGAGTTTGGGGTTTAGGTTTTAAGGTGTAGAGTTTAAGGTTTCAGGTGTAGGTTTAGGGCTCAGGGACGTGGTCGTGTACCCCTAGGAACCCTAACGCCCAGGGAAATGCTGAGGCGCAGGCACGTTGGGCAGCAACTCCGCACTGGTCATGGTTTTCATCCTTGGGCAGGGAGAAGGGAGAGGGTGGATGGTGGATGCGTGCCACTAGCCCACCCTAAATCCTAAACCTTCTGTAAGGTTCCTGACTTGGATCAGCATATCCAACTCCGACTGATTTGTGCAGAGTTTAGGGTTTCGGGTCTGGCCACTTGCAACTCTGAGCCCTGCAATCCCCAAGCCCTCAAAAAAAAAACACTGAACCTTGAAGCACCCCCGCCAAAAAAACACAAAAACAAAACAGAAAAACATAACCCTATAAACCGTTTGACCCTATAAGCCCTATAAACCCTCAACCCCCTAAACCCTGTACACCCTCAACCCCCCCAGCTCCAGGGCCAAAACCATGCTTGTGCCTCAGCGGTGTCTCCAACCAGGGCCTCGCCAGCCGGCTTTGGGTTCAGGGGTTTAGGGGTTTAGGACTTCAGGGGTTTAAGGTTCAAGGTTTAAGGTTTAGGGTGTAGGGTCTAGGGCTAGAGGTCGAGGGGCTTGGGGTTCAGGGGTTTAGGGGTTTAAGGGCACTCTAGGGTGCAGGGCTCAAGGGCCGAGGAGATATATATATATATATGTATGTATGTATGTATGTATGTATGTATGTATGTATGTATGTATGTATGTATGTGTATATATATATATATATATATGTTTTTTTTTTTTGGGGGGGGGGAGTTGGGATTTAGGCTTTAGGGGTTGTGGGTTTAGGCCCAAGCTTTAGGGGGCTTCGGGACTTCAGGGGTTTAGGGGTTAAGGGGGTTTAGGGGCTTAGGGTTTTCTGGGGTTTGGGGGTTTGGGGGGTTGAGGGGTTTAGGGGTTGAGGGTCTTGGGGTGCCTGAAACCACCCCAATCGATGACCACCCTCCCTCCCCGCCACCACCCCCTGTGGGCCCCGCGCAGCCGTGTATTATGGAAGTGTAGTTGGGCCTCAGCCACTTTAGTGGTTTAGGGGGTTGTTGGGGTTTAGGTTTAGGGCTATGGTTTAAGGGGCAGAAGCGGCGTTAGGGGTTTTAGGGGCTTCAAGTTGAGGGTTTAGTTTAGGGGCTAAGGTTTAACAGGTTTGGGGTAGACCCCAGAACCCCAAGACTTCTAAATAAAACGCCTCAACCCCTGGACTCTACAGCCCCAACCTCCAAGCTAGACCCTTACTACCCTCGAAAAAGAGGGTGCAGTTGACAACAGAGCGTCGCCAAAGGCCTCGAACGGCTTGGTAGCCCATATTGTAGTAGGGGTACCTTTTTGGGTTGGTTACTTTAAAAGGGAACCTTGAACCAAAAACAGAGGAGAAAAGTACCGCTGGGCTTCAAAGGATGATCAAGGATTTTTGTGCCATGCAAATTTGCGGGCTTTTGGGAGATAAATCTGACAAGTGTTGACCAGGCTAATCATCGATTACCGGTGAAAACTCTGCTATTCAGCTCTCTTGACCGGTTTTTTTCGCAAGCTAACTATGGATCTTAAATCTAAAACGCTGGAGAAAGCATGGGGTTTTCCAAAATTAGGGGTATCTTTTTGGGGGTTCCGTTGAACAAGGGTTCCAGTACTTTGGGTAGACTTGGGGGTTTACGATATGAGGGGCACCTTATTGGGAACCTTGTTGTAAGGGGATCCTACTATTTGGGGGGTCTATATTTATCATCGTAAACCCCCATTTTGGGGTAACCCTAAGAGATATTCAAAATACCCCCTTGGCATACCCCTTAACATCCTTCCTGATATTCTCCATTTGGAGGATAAGGGGTATGGGTTTGGGGTATGTTGAGTTTTTCTTAAGGTAACCCCATTTTGGGAAATCACAATGGGGTTTTGGGGGTTATTATAGTATAACGATAAGGGACCCTAAGGGAATACTACTAGAAATTATTCCGACTCCTATAGTAACCCTAAACCCTAAACCCTAAACCCTAAACCCTAAACCCTAAACCCGATTTTGGGAAATTTCCCGCTGGAGGTGCCGAGGACGTTGCGGCCTCAACTGGCATGCTCGGGCTCTGGCACCGTGGGCCTGGGTCCGAGCAAAAAAAGGAGGAACCCTAAACCCTAAACCCTAAACCCTAAACCCTAAACCCTAAGCCCTAAACCCTAAACCCAAAACCCCAACACCTAAACCCGAAACCCTGCATTTTATGGTCCAGGGTTGCTGTTCACGGCACGTGTGCAGGAGCCTCTCAATCAAGGACTTGCGATGTAGCGGGGTGGGGGGAGGGGGGGGGACGAGGGCCACTTTTGGGTTGAAGGTTTAGGGTTTAGGGTATAGGGTTTAGGGTGAAGGTTTAGGGTGAAGGTTTAGGGTATAGGGTGTAGGGTTTAAGGGGTTAGGGTTCAGGGTTTAGAGGACAAGGGTCTCGGGTTCTCGAGCGCCGTAAGCCCTGGGCGCGGAACTGCATACGCAGCTTACTCGATCTGTTTGCGGGGGGGTGACTTCCGTTGCTCTCTCGCCTCTCTCCATGTCTCCTTGTCTCCTTCTTCCTGCGACCACGCACACACTGCAAATCACAAGACAACAAAAACACGCGGTGAAGCATAGTGGCATAGTTCCCCAAACCCCTAAACCCCAAAGCGCCTCACGCAAGCACCAACCCCCCCCCCCCCCCCCCCCCCCCCTCCACACACACATACACCTCCATTAGAGCCCGGACAAACCTAAACCCTAAACCCTATGAGCTTTACTAAAGCTAAACCCTAAACCCTAAACCCTAAACCCTAAACCCTAAACCCTAGACCCTAGACCCTCGACCCTAGAAGCTTTAGGGTTTTTGGGGCTACGGGGTATTGGGCTCACCGGGCTCTTCCTGCCAAGCCTGGGTGCGATGCGTCAGTCGCACGGCGTGCATGCGCTCAAGCCTCACAATACAAGGACTACATATAAGGGTTACAAGGATTCTAAGGGTTAGTTAAAAGGGATAAGGGTGATAAGGGTTACAAGGGCTCTAAGGGTTAACTAAATGGATAAGAAGGGTTATAAGGTAATAAGGGTTCCAAGGGTTGCAAGGATCATAAGGGTTATAAGGGTTAATTATAAGGATTATATGGGTTATAAGGGTTGTAAGGGTTCTAAGGGTTGCAAGGATTATAAGGGTCATAAGGGTTCTAAGGGTTAATTATAAGGATTACATGGGTTATAGGGGTTGTAAGGGTTCTAAGGGTTACAGGGATTAAAAGGGTTATAAGGGTTTTGGGGCTAAGGGTCCATGATAGGTCCCCCAGAGCAAGCTATCTAAAGGATTTCTAGGGTTTGGGGGGCTGATATGGGGTTTAGAGTTCAGGTGTAAGGTTATCCGGTTTGCGGGGTTTAGGGTTTAGAGCCCGACTTGCAGGAACTTGGGCCATCTCAGCCGGCTGCGTGCCCTGATACAAGTAGCAAGAATCCTCAGCGATGTAAAACAACTCCTCGTTTTGGGTTTAAGGTTTAGGGTTTAGGGCTTAGGGTTGCCCCTACGTGCAGGATGTATGGTAGTCCGTCAAGTGTCCATGACATGCGGGCGCCATGTCCGGCAGCGACCTTCAACTGGGTGGTTGTCAACATGATGGTCCCTTTTTGGATCCCTATAAAAACACGGCACCGAAATATTTAGGGTTTAGGGTTTAGGGTTAAGGGTTTAGGGTACCCCAAAAGGGAGCATTATTTTGACAACCACCCAACTGCTTCAGCAATCAAATGTGGTGCAGTCGGGCCCATGCCCATAACCAAGTGAACACCCATGCCCTTGTCATGGAAGCGTCGCTTGCACAGCTCCATGTGAGCACGAGCTTCTTGGTGAAATATCTCTAAACCCTAAACCCTAAACCCTAAACCCTAAACCCTAAACCCTAAACCCTAAACCCTAAACCATAAACATGAATACCGTGGGCTCGCCCTGAGGCTCCCAAAGGCTCTGAAATTTGGGTCTTGGGGCCCACGGGCTAGGGGTTAAGGTTGCATGAATCCCTTGGGCTTGGGGCTCTCC